ATTCTAGCTCATTTAATTCAATAATTTGCATTAAAATAATCGTTCGTGTGGTAGCAAATGGGAAATTTTATATTAAATTGTGCTGTTTATGCATTCGGTCACTTCATAATTTAAAACATTATTTCGATTAACTCTTCGTAATCATCCTAACGCATGATGCTCATTTACGATCACCTTAACAACATTTTCATATTATTGAAGATGCATGGAAACATGCATTGTTAGTTTAGACCCTTTAAAAGACTCCGCAGCTTTAGACAAGGGCTTTGAAAGCTGGTCGAAAGGAACTGCGAAGAGAAGAGGGAGGGAAGAAGGAATGTTTACCTTGAACGACAGACGATTTATTGCCATATAGGGTAGGCTGCGCCTACACCCGGTACCACAATTGGTCAGGTCTTGCTTAAATCTACGGAATTTTCACTCACCACGAATAATGTCGACTAATATCTAATGCTAAGAGAATGATTCAGAAATGCTTTGTGTAGAGATCAATGAAGAATAAATAGTTAAATTAACTTGTGTCGCGAAAATGTTAGAAAATGTTGTCGCGCTGGAAAAAGTCGCTCATTTTACGATCTTTATATGGTTTAAAATTTTTGTTCGTGATAAAAGTGATAATACATAGTTTACATAATATATCTTACTGTCCTTTAATTGGAAATAATTAGCCAGATCACCATTCCAAATTTCAGACTTGTATCTTATTTAGGAGGAGAGTTATTGGTTGCCTTCATTGTTAAGAACCCTCATAGGGATTAACGCGCCTGGCGGCCGCTCCACCGGCCTCTTAAAGCAGCGGCTCACATTACCAAATGGGATACCCGCTCATCGGAGGTGGGGGAGAAGGGAGGGGTGTGAGGGAACTGCTGAGCTGCCTATAGCACCTTTTGTTTCCGTGGCGTATCTGCCCTGGTCTATGCACATCTAAGTTGTATTCTATTAATATAATTTGTTCACTTTATTTATCACAAGTTGAATAAAATATGTTATTTAGTTGAAAGAATGGGTACCAAAGCCTAAATTAATTTTTCTGCAAGATGAATTTTACAAGTAATAAAATTACTAGATTGCTTAAATCGCAAGTTAATCAGGAATTTAAAAGCAAAGAAAACAGCCAGAATATTAACCATTTCTTGAGAATGAAAACGTTTCGGAGTCCAGCTCCATCGTCAGTTCAAAGTTCAAAACCTATAAGAAAAGCAGAATCAATTAGAAAACTAAATTCACATCGAAGATAAGAACATAAATTGACAAAAATAAAAACAAATACACATAAGGAGACAGACCTATCTATTAACAATTTCAAGGGGATAGGAGCTGAAGGCTGCATTTAACCGAGGTTTCTGTTTAAAAATATACAGAGATTCTAAAATTCGTAGGTCAGTAACACCGGTCGTGTAAGCCAGAACTCTAAAATCACTATCGGACACCGGAACATTGCACTGCTCGGCATGGACGCGCACAGCTGAATGAGGAGGATGCGCAAGTAAAGTTCCCGTTCTAAAACTTCTGCCTTTATGCTCCGCCAGCCTAGTGTAAAAATTGCGAGACGTCATACCGACGTACGCTGATGCGCACTGCGCACAACTGTATCTATATACTAGGGACGAACGCATAAAAAGAGGGAGAGCATCTTTATAGTTAAAGAACGAACCGATTTTGAAGTTATTCACCAATATCACCTGCAGATATACATTCGGAAGATATTTATTGATCAAATCTTTCAATTCCTTAGCCATGGTCTCAGATGCTTTACCGAAGTAGGGAAAAGAACAGTAAATCAGGTTCCTACTGTCACAATCGGGAACAACTTCATTATATTGCCTTGACATGAATTTCTTAATTTGAGTATAAATCAATTGCGACATCTTTTCTTATAGGTTTTGAACTTCGAACTGACGATGGAGCTGGACTCCGAAACGTTTTCATTCTTAAGAAATGGTTAATATTCTGGCTGTTTTCTTTGCTTTTAAATTCCTGATGAATTTTACAATAACCACGTCCTTCCTTGAAGCAGAAAATGAAATCAAGTTACATGGAAATATATTTAAAATTAATGGCACATCATAATGTTTTATGTTTATTTGTTTTTAAGATCGCGCTGTAAAGAGCAAAGAATTTGCTGGCAGTAGTCAAAGCTCATTGATGACACGTGCACTGTTGTGAGGGTGTACGGTGGTCCAGCCCGACACGTGCCTGCGCTCGCACGCATTCCTATCCCATCAGGCTTCTGACGTTGAAACAACGTTGATTATTGGTTGAATCCAGGTTGAAATGTTGAACAACCAAAATTAAACGTCATATCAACGTCGAAATCTGACCAACACTAGAAGGGACGTAAAACAATCTTATTTCAACGTTGAAATAACGTCGATATTGGTACGTTGAATTTCTACTAAGGTTTAAACGTTGAATCAATGTGGATTTCAGGTTGAAATACTGAACAACCAAAATTAAACGTCCGATCAACGTCGAAATCTGACCAAAACTAGAACGGACGTTAAACAACTTAATTTCAACTCTGAAACAACGTCGATATTGGTACGTTGAATTTTTACTAAGTTCTAAACGTTGAATCAATGTTGATTTCAGGTTGAAATGGTGAACAACCAAAATTAAACATCCGATCAACGTCGAAATCTGACTAAAACTAGAAAGGACGTAAAACAACCTTATTTCAAAGTTGAAAAATGGTCGATATCGGTACGTTGAATGTTTAGCTATTTACCAGTATAGAACTAATGTTCTATACTATACACACCAGCATTGAATGAAATACATACATATATAAGTATACGATTTTTGACCAGAGAATGCAGTTCAATTTTCAAAGAGTCGAACAATTCGTCAGCTTATTTCTATTGCTCATGCACGCGAGCTACCGTGGTCAAGATTGCTAAGGCGCCGTGCGGTCTCCAGCGATTCAAGGTTCGAATCCTGCTACGGACGAAAAACAGGTTGATTCTTCAACGTTGATCAACCAGAGAATTAGACGTTGCAGCAATGTCGTAGTAGTAACATTTGTTCAACGTTGCATTGTAACGTCAGTACGCCGTTTCATGGGAGACGTTGCTTCAATTTTCATTCTAGACCTCTTTTCACCGCGATCTCAACGTTGTAATAGGTAATTATTTCAACATCGATTCAACCATAGAATTCAACGTTGCAGCAACGTCGTAGTAGAAACATTGATTCAACGTTGCATTGTAACGTCAGTACGACGTTTCATGAAAGATGTTGTAGAAAACTGAAGGTATCTTCCTACCTTCACTTAGTTTTGGTAGCTCGGCGATTTATAAAATTAATGCCTCGAACCATTTGACCGGACTTCCAATTTTATAATTCAGATTTAATGTCTTTATTAACTAAGCTTTAAATTTCTTCATACTTTCGAGCACACGTAGCAGTTTTGCAGCTAAGCCTTCCTTATTTCTATTACAACGACTCTAAAGACAAAACTTCTCTGCCCCTGTTCCGCGTCCTAGCAAGCGGTCCCACTCTAACGTTCATTCAGGCAGCACACAGGAATAATCATCTCTTCATCTTCAGCCTTCGTCGACGTCAAGATGTCGGATACGAACTTGTGTTTTAGTACGGTCTCTATGAAGCAGTAGAGACTTGTGGAGCGATCGGGGTTCGGCGGTGGCTACCCTTTGGGCGGTGATGAGGTCACGGCGGACCACACTGGTACTATCTCTGATGCGTCCGGGACTTGGGCCCTACCATGAGCGACTTCCCGTCAGCACGGCATGAAGAACTGTCGTCACGGCGCCCACGGACCGGCGGACCATGGCTACGCTGCGACACCGAACTTGCTGGTTCTGCATTCACGGAGGTGAGCTGCGAAAACTAACGCGTAGTGCTCGCTTAAAGCTCTTCATGGTGCCTTGTCCCTCCAATATGGAGGGTAGAACCTCCACTCGTGCCCATATTCATTAAGTGTAAATTGGAAGTCCTGTGTAATGTTACCTAAAAAATATTTCTTGCTAAGAGGTTTTACATATAAAAATATAATATGTTTCTATTAGAAATAGAAACACAGCATAAAAATGCAAATGTCTAATAAGGATGTAGATACACTAAGACACATTTCATTGTTCTCAATAAATCGTATTTTATTATTTTCCTCCCATTAGGTATAGAATTGCCGAGATTAACACTAATCCTGAATGTTTCGACATTGAAAAAAAAAATAATAAAATGCACCTGCGTGCTCTAAACACAACAATTTTGCAATCAGCAAAGTCATTCGATTAAATTTATCTAGATTAAGGAATTTTTATGTAAGTTAATTACCATTTTTTTTATCGAGATCATCGTTTGCATTAAAATCATACATCGCTTTGCTTGCAACATTTAAGGCAATTTATGGTCTCGACATCTATGCCGTATTAAGCTTTCATTTGAACTCCCACAGCCAATAAGAGAACCCGAATGTGATCGTGAAATTTATTGTTTTTTAAGAGAGTTCACATGCTATGATGTGGAGGTTGTCACATGATTAAGTTACAATGAAGAATTAGATACGCTTCAATTATTTTTATTTTAAACGCGGTAAATTGCACATTATGAAAAACAATTGAAATTGAACAAGCGTGATTCGCATTACTCGTTATATATTTTGTAGCGTGTACCATACTTCTATTAGTATCATTCCTAACGACTTGCATTTGTGATTCATACCCTTATGGTTTTAACTAAAATGCGAAATGTCTCATAGAAATTGTTTTGTTATAAACTTTGAATAAAAATTCATTTTTTCACAAAGCGGTTATTAATCCATACAATTTCATAACAACACGATTCTGTTTTTCCATCGTACGTCAATGAGAGGTACCATATAGGAATGGGCTCACCGAATATCGGTGTGAAACCTAAACTTCGCAGCTTGTGGACGAGCCGCCAGTACTTCTCCTTTGCCGCCGACATTTCAGTTATGAAAATCGCTGAAAAAAAAAAGAATCATGAAGGCCACTTCTCAGGCAACTCATTGCTTTAACACATAATCAGAAATGAGGTATCCTCACTCCTTTATACATGCTTTTTAAAGGATAAATAATTGAATTTTATCGTGATAAAATTATATGCGATTGCATAAATTCTGAGAAACTTAATCGTAGATCCAATTGGGACGACCTTAACCAAAAAGGCTATCGGTCAATAATGTACTGGGTTTTGCCTTACAAATCAACTACTGACGGAAAATAAATAGAAATTTTAAGATTAACTTTAATTCTGATATTTCGGTTCATACAAAGCAAGCTCCGAAAATAAAACTCACATGGGTGTAGTTCCATGCCGATCTGTTTGATTCTGAAGAGTAGTTCCTGGTCGTCGTAAAGCACGTTCTCTAGGAAGTCAACCTCGTAGCCCTCGATGTCGACCTTTATGTAGTCGATAACTGAGTTCGTCTTGCCGATCTTTGCTAGGATGTCACGATAGGTTAGCACCTGCACGATCAATGAACAAACGATTAGCTAGATCATCCTATTGATCGTTGCTGGGATGTTGCGGTAGAGAGGACCTGCACGATCAATGAACAAACGATTAGATATTTCATCCTGTCGATCATTGCTAGGATTTGAATGAACGTTTAAATAGCTCGTCGTCTTACCGATCATTGCCGTGGTGTCCTGGTTAGTGTGGAGCGAATTGATTAGTAGAAACATTTCAACTTTTTTACGAACGCGGCAACAGTTCTTGTTACTTGTTTCAACAAGTAACATGAACGCAAATGCTTAGTTCGTATTACACGATTCAAATAACTATTCAGACATCATAAATTTTTAAATAGGCTCACGGCAACCAGAACTTTTACGAACTGTAAGAAAATCTGCTCGATCGCTAACAAATCTTCTTTAGGCTTACAACAGAAAATTTTTAAGCTCAAAGGCTTTTCTTGTCATTTTAGAGTCTAATATTATTATTGGGAAGGTTCAGGATCATCATTTTGGAGCTGAGAAAAAGTTGCTGCAAAATTACACGTCCATTATAGTAGATCCATTTCGACTATAAATTCCGTCAATATCAATTTCCCATTGCTCAATTTGCTTTAATATCCTTTACGTAAAAAATAATAAGTTTATGATATTTTAGTACACCTCTATGCAAAAACATCAAGAATATCATTTGTAATATAAGTCGGTGGTAGCTCGCCTTGCATTTGGAGAAGCCAATGGTGACTTCTTGGGTGACACCGCCGAGGCCCAAAGGGTAGAAGTGAACCCTCTTGCCTCGGATGTGCTCTGGGTCGCTCATGGTGGGGTCGAAGGAGTACACCTAAGGCAGGAGGAAACAATTTAAGTTAAGTTCATACAAACCTACACAGCTTGACTTCAGCCATACAAACCGTGTGGACAATTTTAAATTTTAAATTGGAACAGTAGGTTGTTTTGTAATGTTATAAGTACTTCAATTTTATGCATGCAGTGATTAATGTGCAAATGAGTAATTTATTTTCGGGAAACCACCGAAAACCCTACGTTGATGCCATTTTAAATAGGTTTAATCCCTGTCAAAATTTAGCCGCGGCAGACAGTCTGATTTCGGTTGCAACTCTCGGATTAGAGATGATTCAGATGTGAAATGGCCGCCTCCCCTATTTAGCCGCCCAGTAGGAGCTATTTTGGGTAGTTTCATGGGAACAATGGGTCAAATATCACGCGAAATCAGCGGCTGGCCAGGCCACCATTGGCTTACCCTGCTCAGGAGCTGGTATGAGTTCTTAGCGAGAGCGTGACAAGCCCCTGCCTTTAGTCGTGACGCTGCATGTGCATTGTGCATGGGTACGTACACCACGCGATCGTTTCACCACTCTTGCATTGCGTATATGTCAACATGCTTGCGTTGCGTTATCTTCAACACGCTTGCATCGAGTGCGTGTTGCTCGCGCGAGAGTTGCGTGAGATTCAACACGTGTGCAATGCGAGTCTGTCAACGCGCTTGCTTTGCGTGCGCATAGAAAAACACGTCGGCATTATGTTATCTTCAACACGCTTGCGTTACTTTTACATCAATAGGGTTGCAACTAATGCTCGCCAACGCGCGTTTTCAACAGCGCATGCGTGAACAGCGTTATCTTCAATACGCGATCTAACGCGGACATTTCATTTCTGTTAACACGCTTAATTGCGATGTGCGAATATGTGCAACAACACGCGTGCATTGCGTTGTCTTGAACACGCTTGTGTTACTTCTATGCCTTCTATGTGCATCGCGTCCTAGCAACCAGCATGCATTGTTCTTGCGGCAACACGCACAAATTGCAATTACAAGCAAGGCTTCAAAACTCACGCATTCGAGGTAAGACTGATGAATAACTTCAAAATACTCCTTATTCTAAGGTGGGGTTACCCGTACCCACTACCCCCGACGCTCTGCGCCGGCTCTGGTGCAGTGCTTCCAGCGCTAGGTTTATAAACTCAGATCTAGGTTTTTGAGCTTCCAGCTAGGTTTCTATGTTTTCAATTTACAAACTGATCTAAATCTAAGTTTTTTTTATAATAATGCACTGAAAACAAAAATCAATCAATTATTATTGCTAAAAAAGCGGAAATACTACTTGTTATAATTTCTAATACATGTTCGTCTATATACAAAAAATATATATATATATTTTGTTAACGCATTTTTCAGATTCGGCCGTGTCTGTCCCGAACGTATTAGGTACCAAATACGCACGCCCCACGATCGCCCCAAGCTCAACAGGAATTTCACAAGATTCTCTTTCGGCGCTTATTTCGCTCCGGTAACCGGAACCTAAAGCGGACATAGGGCCGCTGATTTATACCGTTGGGCGATTTTGGGGCGCCCTTGAGCCAGTGGCTGACAGGCATCAAAACTTTGATAGGGATTGAATATATTGTGGATAAACCTACACGATATAGCCTTAGCAGCGTAAACTACAGCTAAAGAAAAATAAGAGTTGATGTGTTGAAAAATTCTGATTTAATTGATATTGCTGATGATTATTTTGTCTCTGTATATAATGTTGAAGCTTTTTGACATAGTTAAACTGACTGCAGTTAACAGTTTCTTCTAACTGCATTTAGATTATTCATATTCAAGCTTTACAGCCAATATGAAACGTACAACTCATAGGCCATCATGAAAAATCAAAATTTAAATGTAAACAATGGGAAGTTGAAACCTATAGGTACGTTGAAGCCTCACCAGCAGTTCTATTTACCCCTTTGTTTTCTCAAATAAATTATCACGAAACTTACATCACAACCGTACTCTTCCATGGCGTCGTCAAAGCTCCACTCGTTGCTGATGCCGAAGGAGAGGACGGTGCAGGAGCCTGGAGTGGGCGCGACGCCCTCGTCCAGACACACTCTATAATTTCCGTCATTTTTCCATATGAAATGATCCCCGAGGCCGCCAAATTGTTTCTGGTGGAATATTGGTGCCAACCTTAGAGAGTGAATTTAATGCGGAGCAAAAATTAAATTATTTTCACTCTCTATTCCAAGATTAGGAAGATTTTTGACGACAATTTTCACCATTTGCCAAAATTTTGCCGATACAATCATAGACACTGCCACTAATACGAGAAATGTTATTTAAGTCAGTCCCGATTTGGAATTAAATAATATACGTTTAAAAATTACTTTTTAAAGACAACGCTTCTAAAGAATCCAGTGTCTCCAATGTTAAAGATGTACAATGCATTTCTCATTTTATTTTCGAATATTAAAAAATTAATTTTTCAATTTTTTTCATAGAATTTTTTTCAAAATTATTTATTCTGCCGATTGATTCATGCATTGCCTCCGATCACACAAGTGTGCAAAATTTCAGATCAATTGGACAGGTAAAAGTGTGTCAAATATCAGTTATAAGATTTGTAGCTGACAAAATTGTTTGTTCAATTTTTTTAACATTGAAAATTTAATTTTTAAAATCATTTATTTTGTCATTTGATTCTTGCATTGTCTCCAACGCAATTGTGTAAATTTTCAGATCGATAGGATAAGTAGAAGTGTTTTCAATTTCGATTATAAGATTTGTAGCAGACAGACAGACAGACGAAGAAGAAGTGAAGTTAAAGAGAAGTGTTGTAAAAAAAACGTGCAAAGATATCGCAATAATTCATTTTTAAATGAAAGCCTGTACCTCAAACTACTTTTCTACATAATTTTCGTGAATATTCAGGCCTTTGTAATAACGTGGCACCAGTTTTTGAATACCCTCCTTATAAAATTCTGCTGTATGGCTTGCTGCCAAATGTTTTGACTTCGTTATCTTCTTGACGACGCCGACCGACCAGTTGTTTCTCCAAGTGCAGCGTGATGCATCACACTGCACTTGATGCATCAAATGCATCACATTGCACTTGATGCATCAAATGCATCATACTGCACTCTTCATTTGTGATGCAGTGGTTAACTAGTCAGGCGGCAGAATTTTATCAGGAGGGTATTCAAAAACTGGTGCCACGTTATGAAAAGTGCCTCAAAATTCGCGGAAATTATGCATAATAGTAAATTAAAGTACAGGCTTTCATGTAAAAACAAAATTATTGTGATATCATTGCACGCCTTTCTTGAATTCCAAAACGGTACTGACTTAAAAAATATAACTCAGTACTCACTGCAGTGAGTGACAGAGAGCGCATTTTCTCGTCGACGAAAACTTGAGGTCACGGACGGACGGACGGACAGACAGACGGACATGGCAAGCACAATAGTGCATTTCTTCCATAAATGAGAAAATGCGCTAAAAACAGGCCTCGTACCAATCACTCAATCGTGCAGCCGTGCATGACAACGCCAATTATTTTCTAGAGAATATTCCTCTCAGTAGTAACGCCGACAAAACTTAACAAGATGGCCTACCAGAAATAATAATTATAAATGACAACATATTTCAATTTACGCGTGATACATAATGCCAAGTTTTTAGATTTACTGCTACGCCAGTGACCCCCTTTTTATTTCAAATGTCCTTTTTTCAAGTTATTGTTGCGCGCATGACAAGAATCACATAAGCCCACAATACCAGATTCAGCTTCAGACAGGCTATACATATTTCCTGTAAAAACTTTTATAATGGTAATTATAAAGCAATATTCACCACATTCCGACAAGCGTCCACGGTTTCTTTGATGTAGGCGTAGAAGTCCGTCCAGCTCGGCTGAATCTTTTCGTAATCCACGGCGTAATTACCGTTACCGCCTGAAACGTTCATAGCTCATGTGACATTATTCATTCTCAATTTCTTAATATAAAATAATTGAAATTGCCTTATTTTGGGATGGCCTGCTCAATTGACTCACCTGGAATAGGTTGAAGGCTGTTTGCAGTTAATACCGTGACGTTCCTGACACAGACAACAGAGCGTTAGAATTTTGTGCAATAAGGAGCAATTACTTCTCATTAAAAATATTTTTTTCGTTATTCATAGATTTATTTATGGATGGATTTTCAGATGATTTGAATTGTTCCTAAATAATGTATTTCGTACAAATTCATTTATAGCTTCTAACACTGTTCCATTAGCACATATTTGGTGATGATACTAGTATTTATCAATTTCTAGTCCACCTATCGATCAAACAGGAGCGTTATCAAATTTACTTTCATGGTTATCCAATATGAATTGTACAAACCTGAGGTCCAAATCAATTCATACCATCAAAGAAAAAGTCCTTGCAAATGGTGAACATTTAAACGCTAACAAACCGGCGCATTTACGAGTTCAAACAAGTTTAAAAGGAGCGGTTTTTATTTCAAATTATGTTGATATTCTTCTATGTACTCTTTTTTAACATTTTCAGCGACTTATGAGGCTTGAGCAATGGTTTGCGTCCCTTATACAAGGTCATGCATGTCTAACCAATTCAAGAAGTGCAAGAACTGCCCTTGAGCCCCGAACTGACGCTGTTTTTAGACACTGGTGGACAAGTTTTTTAGCTTCTGTTCAGGCCGAATCTTTAATTCTGCAGACCATGTTTAGGTTAATTAGTCGAGTTATTTTCATATCATTTAAAATTCTTGGTAGTAGAAAGTATTTTCAATGTTTATATTGTTTGAGTCCCTAGAGTAGCAAATTTCTACTGAATTCCTTAGCAAAGCACGTATTGTGAAATATTGAAATTCAGAACTAATTAATCGTCTGAACCTTCAACCGGTTAACAAGAGAAGGAAATATGGCGGTTCTTAAATGCATTTATGAGTCGAGGTATATATGTGCTCAAAATCATTCCAACCAATTTATAGGCACATTTTGCCATCTTTTCGCATACATAATTTCTTTAACTTTGTCATTTTAAATATTTAAAAATGTAATTATTAGGTAAATGGTCAACACCAGTCATTTAAAATGAATTGTTTGGAATGATTTCACCTATGAGATAATTGCGGGATATGAATAATGAATAATCCAAGTGACTTGCCTGCTCATTCTACAGATAGGCGAGAGATGAGTTACCCTGAGGTGAGTTACCCTGAGGTGAGTTACCCTGAGGTGAGTTACCCTGAGATGAGTTACCCTGAGGTGAGTTACCCTGAGGTGAGTTACCCTGAGGTGAGTTACCCTAAGGTGAGTTTCCATGAGGTGAGTTACCCTGAGGTGTGTTACCTTGAGGTGAGTTACCCTGAGGTGAGTTACCATGAGGTGAGTTACCCTGAGGTGAGTTACCAAGAGGGGAGTTACCACCTGTCTCTTATACACATCTAGACTGAGGTGAGATACCCTGAGGTTAGTTACCATGAGGTGAGTTACCCTGAGGTGAGTTACCCTGAGGTGAGTTACCCTGAGGTGAGTTACCCTGAGGTAAGTTACCCTGAGGTGAGTTACCCTGAGGTGAGTTACCCTGAGGTGAGTTACCATGAGGTGAGTAACACTGTGGTGAGTTACCCTGAGGTGAGTTACCATGAGGTGAGTCACCCTGAGGTGAGTTACCATGAGGTGAGATACCCTGATGTGAGTTACCATGAGGTCAGTTATCATATGGCGCGTTAAATTCCCATAAATTTCACAAATACCCCAAGTTTGCCGGCTTATCATCCCGGTATATTGGCACGAGTTGCATCAAGTAAATTAGCTAAATTGCCCACAATGAAAATTGTTACCGTCAGCGTTACTCACGGATCTTTGATGCAGTATTTATAGATCAAAATCGTGGATAAAACTAACGATGCCACCGTGAGCACCGCCATTAGTTTGAAGTCGTTGTCGAACTGCAGACGAGTTTTGAGACGCACAAACAGGCGCTGGTGACTACTGCTGCTCTTTGATTCTTTCATGATGATAATTTTCCAGATGCGTACGAAAAAAACTGATGGTAAGAGTTTAGTTTCTACGTACAACCTGCCACTTAATGAATCAGAAAAGGAAGAGAAGGTTAAAATAAGTGGAAAAATGCAGTAATCTATAAATGCCGAATTCTTATTGAGGTACGTCACTCCGTAAAAAAAGTATGCATGTTTTTCCAATGCACATGAAAATATAAGAACTTTCTATTTATAAGCAATGGAAGTTTTCGTTCACGTTATCGTAAAGATTAGACGATCATATCACAAAACCCAATATATATTGTTCCCAATCACTAACTGGTAATTGAACTTGAACAGATAATTGAACAGTGTATTTTAAAAGCCAATCATTTTTCTGACAAGAAATATCTCAGACCAATAATAGCGCTGCCACAACTTGAATGGGTTCCTCCTTTCATCAGAGCTCGAAGATCAATCAACAGATCGAAGGAAGATATGCACGTCTCTCGGCAAGAGACGTTCTCGCGTCAATTTGTGTTAGTGAAATATTGTCATAATGACATAACGCTGCACAGAAATATCCTATCAATATCTCAAAATTACCAATTATTCTTGAAATTACCCTAGTTTTACTGTAGATATCAAAATTATCGAGATATTAAAAATTAACGGAAAATGTTTTGATATTTGAACTGATGGCTTTTCCTGATGGCTTTAAATTCAATATCAATGAACAACATTTTTTTGTCTCAAAAATTTGCATAATTCAGTTCCAGTATCCTAGTTTTATTCGTCCATATAATATGTAAAAAAGATAAAAATATTATTTCAATGAATGATACGGCAAAACGATCCTTAACTTCTCTGATCTGAAACGTTCAGGTATGTTAGCCCCATTATTTAGAGAAAAGATTTTATAAATATATAGAAGGTACTGAACACTGATAAATAAATGCATAAAGTCTCACGCCGTTCACAAGCACAACAAATCTATTTCCCAAGTCTTGAAGTATTCATAGAAATTCATTATGAATTAGGATTTTTGGAATTGGCGCGAATTTGATTGCTCTAAAAATCTGGAGTAAAATTTTTATGTGATGGGAAAAATCTGCAAAAAAATCGATCAGCATTTCATCAACTAAAGAATAGTTCGTTGAAAATATAATAGTTCGTCGGCAGACTTCTACATTACTAAAGAAATTTGCTCCTGGATAGAAAATTTATTCACTGGGTGTTCCCGGGATTTACTTTTACATAGTCATTACACAAAATACACTTTATATATAGTCATTACACAAAATACAATCATTACATAGTCATTATATTACACTGAATACATTATATATTCTGCGAAAAGTTGCGCAGTATCGCTTGTCATTCTGCTGGTGTGTATTTACGTCACGAACAAACATCATGAGCGACTGTGAATGCTGCGTGTTGTGCTTGCACCGATGTCCAAGGATGGTAGCAGTAAACTAAGCAAGACTGGATCACTGGAAGTTAAGCGTTGTTTAACCTTCGGCTGAGATCCAGGAAAATAAAAAGGGGGAAATCCCAATTTTTTTTGTTTATTCTGGTAGTCAGTCTAGACAACAATGTGAGGAGCTGCGCAACAGTTCGATAATGTACAAACGAGATTATGTGTACAGACAAGGCAATGTCAATTGTGATGTGTACGTACGAGATAATGTAGAGAATGTATCCAAACAAGTTTGTGTTAAATGTAAAATAAAATTGTCAAAGCGAGACCTGCGAAAACAATTTAAATCAATTGAATGCACTTAAAACTAGATTGAATGCACTTTAAACTCGGAGCATCGTTGATGCTCCGAGAATGAACGCCTTCAAGAACAGACTAGACGAAGCTATGCAGGAGCATATGTTCAGTCTTAAATTGCCTAGCAAAATACCGACCAGGCAATAAGTCCAGCAGCTATCTCAATCAACAATCGTCAGTCATCGAAAGATCGGGTTCCAAAGAGCTTGTGAATCTTGTGAATCAAGTCACGAAAAATTCAAGAATGGGCAATAGGCCATGGGCCAATTTTTGCAGTGCCGACACTTCTATTCTATTCTAAAACTAAAATCGTAGGATATAAATTGGTTATCACTGGTTCACTCAACTAAATATTCAGATTGGTCCACACGATCATGAATCACAGTCACAATAAGATTCTATATCAAGATTAACTGGAGCATCTTGGATGAATCAGGTTAATTCACAAACATCGCTCAATTCAGTTAGAAACCCTAACCGGAATTTAACACCAAGATTTACGTATCAGGTTAATTCTGACCTACATTAATTCAATATTGTGTAATTTACTCAGTAAAATCAACCTGAATATCTATTTGCAATAAATTATTCTGAATATCTTATTATTCAGTTGTTGCAATGACCTGAATAATAATAAGGCTGCCACTCCTATTATGAGCGTAAACATTATTGTGAGTCAGCATAATGAGTCAGTGGCTCTGTGGTAGCACTACTGTAGCCCCTAAGCTGAGTCGGCATGAAAACATGACAAAATTCCTATCAATCAACTATAAACAACAGAATGAATACACTTCTACATGATGATCATGGAACAATTTCTAAATTTAACACTCTGATCACTATTCACCCAGTGGATTAATTTTTAACACAGCACACAAGAAGCACGACTTATTCAGGACGCGGCAAAAAATAAAAAGACTTTTTGCTGGGTTCCGAACTCTAACGATGTTGCCAGAGGGCTCGGGGTGAGATTCTTAGAGGATTCTCTGGGCCTGGACTATCGTAATTTATATATTCATAACTGTTAATATTAGAACATAAAATTACTATCAAATCTATCGAATATTATATTTATCAAAACTGGCCATGATTAACTGGCATACGATATCGATTATGTTACTTTTAATCATTGTATTTGTCGTTGACAATCAGACAAGGTTCACAGGTAAATTGTACATAATTAGGACATTAAGACATATAAAAATACTGTTTTATTCTAATAATGCTCATGGAATTACTACAGATCTCACCATTCGAGATGGCAGCATCTCGGACTCCCATTAGACTGAGTTCAGTCTAATGGAAGTCTCAGTCTACTAATCATTGCCAAACTTTTCGGTAGATTTTGCTTAAATTTTGCATTTTGCATCATTCAGATTGTTCAATCTCTTCTATTGGGCCTTCCTTTATTAAAATCGGAAAGCCCAAGCTATTTGCTTTGCAAGCAGCCAGACTGTGCATTGGGGCCCATAGTGTGTGGTTTCTCGGCTGTTTGTACTCCTGAAGTGTCAAGCTTTTTTTTCGTGAACTTTTGGACTAAGACGAATGATAAATTGTGCGCCTCGTATGAAGAGACTTGTAATTTGCCTGAAGATTACCAGTATACTACGACAGCCTGCAGAGCAGTTTTCTAGTTTATAGCCGTGGCCCCTGGTGTTGGTTCTTGTTTCAAATTCTAGTAATCCTTCGGGGACCTTGTATAAACCAAGAATATATTTGTATACTTCAATGAGGCGCCCACGCAGACGTCGATAACTGAGGCTTTGAAGCCTCATAATCTCTAATCTTTCTTCATATGACTTGCCCTTCAAGCCTTGAATTATCCTTGTTGCACGCCTTTAAATATTCTCTATTAAATTTTTGTCCTTTACAAACCTCGGTGACTACACAACGTTTCCAAACTCTAGATTCGGGTGCACGACAGCAACAAACAACTGCTTCATCGCTTCTGCATCTAGGAACTCGTATGAGCGTCTGATTAGTCCAAAAAGTTTGTTGGATTTGTTAGCTTGTGTTTCAACATGCTTCGAAAATTTCAGCTCCTTGTCGACATAAACTGCGATATCTTTTTCCACACTAGCCTTTTCAATCATTACTCTCTCGTTGCAACCATGTCTTCTCATGCTGTAATCTTGCTGTTCATTGTTCTTCCCGAGGTGAAGTACTTTACACTTGTCAGCATTAAACCGCAACTGCCGCGTATCAGCCCAGTTAACTAAACTGTCAATATCATCTTGCAATTGCGCTTTATTTGACGAATCCTTCACTGTTTTATAAACTTTTGTGTCGTCAGCATACATGGAGCACACGCTGGACACTGCTCCTGGCAGATCGTTTATAAAAGCAACGAACAAAATAGGCCCAAGAACGCTTCCTTGTGGCACGCCACTGCGCGCTAATGCCCAGCCTAACACGGTTCCCTTAATACTGACACGTTATCGTCTACCCACTAGAAAATCTCTGATCCATTGGATTACGTTTCCCTCAATTCCCAAAGACTTCACTTTACGCAACATCCGCTCATGCAGAACACTGTCAAGTGCTTACGGCTCCCTTTCGTCCAGCAGGCGAGTCCAATCGTTCAACGTAGATAATAAGTTAGTGGTGTAGGATCTACCGGCAATAAAACCATGTTGACAATCTGATAGGAGATGGTGAGCAATCAAGTAATCGATAATCTTATCCCTCACAACAGATTCCATTAGCTTACAAACAACACTTGTCAGACTGACAGGGCGATATTTGCCGGGGCTGCTTTTGTCACCTTTTTTGAACAATGGTGTTACTTGAGCTTCTTTCCAGCCGGACGGCAAAGTTCCTTCGTTCAAGGTTTTTTGACAGAACACTGGCAATGGGCCGGCCAGAACGGTTGCTAATTCTGGGATGGAAGCCGTCTGTTCCACATGACTTGTTGGGATTTAGAGCTACCAGGCACTTGAGAACTTCTTCTTCGTATATTTCAAAACCTGGTAACTTCGAGCCGACTGGGCGCTCCTCAATATCTGGAATACTTTTCAAGTCCTCATCTGTGTACACACTGCTGAAGAACTGATTGAGAATGTTTGCCTTGCCCTCATCAGAGGAAATCTTTCTTTGGTTTACTTTTAAAACAGATATACCGTCCTTTAACTTACACTTCGAACTAGCGTACAAAAAGAAGGCTTTTGGATTATTTTTTGCATTTTTAGCAATATTTTTTTAGAAGTTTTTTACTGCAGTGCGACAAACTTTTTTAGCTTGATTTAGAGCTCTTGCATACAGGTTATAATCAGAAGGTGTGAGTTCGTAAATAACGCTTGTATGTTTCTTTTTTGGCCTGTAGCTGAGCCTAACTGCACTGTTCAT